CTGCATCTCAACTTAGTACTCCAAAGTAGAACTCACAGCAACTCAGAAAGATATCTGTGCCATAGCTAGGTAATGCAAGCTAGTCTGTGCTAGTGAAAACAATCAGACTTGAAAAGAACAGTGACATGGTTATGTATTACAAAGAACGGGGTTTTCCACAGAAAGTACTTTCAAAAGTAGCATGGATGATTTTGAAGTAAAAGTTATGAAGCATCTTCAACAGAAAAATCCCTCCCCCTCCAAATATCCAATGCTTGAAGATAATTTCAAACAAACCCTTCCTACATTTCAGCTTTCATTTTGGCACCTACCAAAAAGATGTAATGGCAAGATCTGATCTTGAGGAGTGCTCACCACTTCCTCCTGTAAGTGCCACTTAACACAAAACTGGCCTTAATAATAATAGGAACCTTACTGAAAAATGCAAAGGCAGATGGCAGATGAAGAAAGTCTCCAGATTTGCATTAAGTGTTCTGTAAGGTAAGCGGAACTTTCTTTAGAGAGAGGAAAGGAAACAAAGATCATGACAACAATTTATAACAAGTCACCACTCATCCGTAAGGCACAACCAACCTCCTTACACTGAACGTAGATTAAGAGAAAGGAAGGTATTGAAAAGAAATGAAATCTAGCATGTATTGATTTTGCAGAATTACAGAGAAATTTCCTAAATTTCAAATTATATTTTTAACTACCATTTGCTTTGTAGTTCTAACAAATTTTGAATGACAGAGAAAGTGTGAAGAGCCGTGTGTGTGTGTGTGTGTGTAAAAAATAGCTCCTCCTAGATCAGTAAGAATTTTGACTATCTTGACATCAAGCTTAAAATACAAAGAGACAATTACTAGGGTGTTTATGGGAAGAGCAGTAAATAAAAAGTTTCTCTAACTTGAAATGCATGTACTGCAAGAGACCATTTTATGGCAAACTAAGTGGTACTCTTCTGCTGAGACCCTAGGAACTAACTACAAAGGATCAATGAAAGCTTTATACAGTAGCCAAATAGTAAACAGCTCCTTAAATAAACCCCCTTTATTCCACAGTTCAGACAAGCCATGCGGCTATTCAAAAAAACCTCTTGATTTAATAAAATTGCTTTTTCAACTTGGAACGGGCTGCCCAGGGAAGTGGTTGAGTCTCCATCCCTGGAGCTATTTAAAAGATGTGTAGATGTGGCGCTTAGGGACATGGTTTAGTGCTGGACTTGGCAGTGCCAGGTCTATGGTTGGACTTGATGATCTTAAAGGTCTTTTCCCAACCTAAATGATTCTATGATTCTAATTAAGCAAATAGTAACTAATAAAATGTTTAATTTAATTTTAGAGTAAAATTGATTGTTTACAAGCGATAGATGATTGGTCACTCATTACAAATACTTGTCCTGATCTTTGTTTCTTTTAATCCTATTAAATAAAGTTCTGCTTATCTGATAGATCCCTTAATGTAAATTCTAGAAGGTGGTTCTTAAGGCCAGTTTTTACGTTAAGTAGTACTTGTAGGAAGTGAGCATTTCTCAAGACCAGACTCTGTCTCTCCATCTTTTTCAGAAGGTACCAAAAATCAAAAGCTGAAATGTTGAAAGAATTCTTTTCAAACAAGCATTCAACTTATGGAGAACTTTTAAAGCAATTTGATGATTTTTAAACTTTTGATCAACTTCTACTCCATAATCAATCACCCAAGTTAGTCTTATTGACTATATTAATTTTATATTTTATTTTAAATTATTATTTCTTTAGGCCAGAAATCTGAAAAGCATTAAATCTTCATAATTATACATGCACACACATATAGAAACATACTTTATAGGATCTACATAAATAATATTTATATTTCTTGCTAATTTTTTTGAATTATATTTAATGTATATTAAGGCATGCTACAGCAGGTAATCGTTTTATCCTGTATATTAACAATAAAATGAAAAACACTATTTCGTGGACTAAAATCATTTCATCAAAGAATTTTGATCAGCTTTGTCAACGTCCTTAAAGCAGCTTCCATAAAGCTGCTTAACTACACAATTATTTTGACTTCTAAGACTGCAGAACAGAATGGATGAAGCACAGAAAACATCTACATATAAACTACTACTGCTTACGATAGTGTAATGATGTTACCAACCACTTCTGAAGTGTTGGATAAAATAAAGAAGAGGGAGGGCAGAGAACATAAAATGTTATTTTTCATCTCAAGAGATACTGCAGTAGGGAGTTACCACGGGAAGAGTAACACATGAGAATGGTTTTAGTCTAGACTAAAACCAACCAAACAAAAAAAACCCACAAAAACCAAAAAACCAAACCATACAGCAACCCAGAGCAAAGACTGACCTTAAATTACATTCACTGATTTTAGCAGGAGTAAAATCTCATCAAAACTATTGTCTCTGAATACTTTTAAGTTGTGCAAAGATGGATGCTCTGCAATTGCAGCACTCCTTTAACAAGAAGTGACACCTTAAAAGCAGAGTCTGTAGCTGCTCACGGGCTGCTCATGAGTCATGAGATCTGGGATATGGCAAGTCATATTGGCTCTGACATTTACTAGGGAATGAAATATCCACAGTTGGTTTTAAATTATGTTATTTGAGCACGCTCCTGTACTTAAAGCAAGTGAAAGGCAATTTTGATTTCCTTCTTCAAACTGAAAATGACTGAATCATTCACAAATACTTCTTGCAGTATTTCTGTTGTTCTGAAGATAAAGTGATGCAGCATGAACTGTGTCAAAGTCAATTAACGGACAGATAACAGTAAGGTGCTGCTAATAAGCAAATATTTTTCACTGAGTAGTCCACTTTTCAGCCATCATGTTATATTTGTTATCCAAACACTAAGCTAGCATTTGAAGATCATTTTAAAGTTCACATGTTTTCTTATTTTGCATTAAGCCTTTGTAAAAGCACGAATGGCTGCTCCTTCAGTACTTCAATGACTTATTTCATCATGCTGGAATTGTCTCAAAATGAGCATGTAACCCACGAGTTCTCATCTTCTCTGCAAACAATGTTTGAATTTTTGCCCTTTCATTTTGACTCATTAAATTTGCAATGTCAGGTGTTGGCAATATAACAGGAAAGAGAATGACGCTGCTCTGGGTGTCAGAAGGTTATCATTTTGGAAGGCAACATCACCCAGCTTCCTCGATAAGCTCTTAGTAAATAATTTGATTTTCAACCATGTCCAATTAAAGACTTTCTACATAAGGAAGTCACTGCTAAATAATGAGCCACGGCAAATCCCAATTTCTTGTAAACATCTTTGTATTGAGTAGTTTAATCTACTTCAATGGAGGAGTAGAGAATGCACTTACTACAGACAAACAGTATCAGTGTAGAGAAACAGCTTTTTGGGCTATTTTCCTGGATAGAGAAATCTTTGGTAAGAAGATACTACACAAGTTTAGTTCTCTGTCTCTTGGCAAACTCAGTTTAAGTGGAACACATCCTGGAATGTGTTTTCCCCCCCTTTTAAGAATACTACCCGTATGGAAGACATCATCACTGATATCCTCAGTCTCCTCTTCCTCCTGCCCTACCCCGTTAAGCAGGAAAAACTTGTCTCTAACAGATTACATCAGAAAGACCCACTTGCAGCACACAAAGAATGAGCAGTGTAATCTAGCCCTTGTTGCAAGTGATACTGGTACTCATTTATCAGTCTGTTCGGCTGTTCTGCAAAACAAGGTGCCATTTCTCCAGGTCTAAGTGATCACATTCCCAGCACAGAAGAACAAGTCTAACCAGTGCTGTGCTAACTCACGGGATGCAAGTCTGCAGTTTCATTTCCCTGCTCTTCTTTGCTGTTACACCCTGAGATTCACAGAAGGAGCTAATAATTGGCTGATGAGAGATAAGCAGGACTAAAAGCAAATGATGTAAAAAACAAATAAACTATTGCAACTCCACTGCCAGAGATTTACTTTTATTTCTTAATATGTCCTTTCAAAAGTACCACACATTTCAAAATCTTCAAGAGAAATTCTGCAACATTATAAAATGTAAATCAAGTATGCAAACACACCCAGTGCTACTATTCAAGTGATTTTGTGCCAAGGAGCAAAGAATGAAATCAGTAGTCAGAGGTCAGCTCCATTACAGCAGTCCCAACCCACAATACAGAAATTACACCCATTTCATAGTTTAACTTGCAAAGTATTAGAGCAGCAATGAAAGCAAGCACTGAGGTTTAAGAAGAGATTAAAAAAAGAAACCAGACACTGGAGAAACATATTTTTTCCATTCTCTATATTCAGAAAAGATGCTCTCAGGGTACTTTAGGCGGCTTCTTTCCACTCTGATCCTCCCAGCTGGCAGGTAGAAAGGATATAAAGTTTGCCCGTTCCGGGAACAAGGGAGAAGAGCTGCAATTGTACTGCACGCTTACTAATCACTGGATGATAAGGAAGGTCCCTAAATCCAGGCACAGCACCCTGGCAAGCATCCCAGACTCAAGGGTGAGGATAAAGGAAGAGGGAGGCAGGCACTTCAGCACCATGCCACTTGAGCAGAGCCTTCCCGCACCCTCTGCTTTGTGCTGTTTGCCAGTCCAGCTTCTTGGCTAGCATACAGCAGGTATTCAGCATATGGTTCAAGGCTGCATTCTACTACTACATGCTTATAAAGCTGCTGTGTTATTGGAAGAGTAAACTTTCACTAAGGATAGAAAGGAAAACAAAACCTTCCACTCTTGAAAAAAAAAAATTAAAGTTATTTGTATTGATTAGATGAATTTGGGACGAACTTATGGTGATAAGGCAGCATATTCAGAGTACATTATACAGACTCTGTTTTGTTTGGGTTTTTTTTTCTTTTTCTTTCCTTTTTTTTTTTTTTTTTGAGAGAGAGAAATCCTGTAGAATTCAAACATGGGGGACAGAGTTTTAAGCTACACATTTAAAATCTGGCTCTATTGCTTTACATGAGTGTTAAAATTATTCTTTTTCAAATGCATAGAGCTAAACCACTGGGTTACAAAGAACTGTAATCAACATTTTACCTGTATAGGTGGCTCAATCATTATCCACGCAGGAAGCATCAAACTTGGGTTAAGAGGTTGAGTTCCTACACGGAAATAAATGCCACCACTGGTGTCACAGGCCCAAACATGCTGATTTCCACAGGTCAAGCTGATCAGCTTTACAGCACCTAATAACAAAGAGACTATTAGCAACATGGCATTTTCCTTTCAAATTCAGCTAATAATGAGAACTTTTATTTAGACTTGATTGTATTAAACTAGCTTTAAACACAGTCACATAAAAATGATTAAAAGTTAATACAAATTAGGAGAGAAAAAAAATCACTGGATACCATGAATAAAACCAACAGGTAGTGTATGTGAGGTATTACTGTTTTAAATCGAAAAATAAATGTTTTAGTCACAGGATACTGCAATTTCTAAAGCACACTAAAAATATGTTATTAAAATAACCAAATTCAAGCAGGGAAACATTCTGTGACAAATGTTATCAGTGCCTAGACAAACTTTCACATGACCTAATGTGAACTTTTCTCTGTAGCTGGCCGTGCTTGTAGACTTTTAAAGGTGTTGATCTGCTAATATATTCAGTGAAGAACATTCCTAATGCTACCAGAACTTTAAAAATATGAGAGCATATGGATTATGCATTTCAGTGTTCACATACCAGTATCACATCTGTAAATAAAAGGAGCTGATTTTCAAATGGCTTTATATTCAACAGCGTACACATTTATTACACCTATCTCAAAAGTGCAGCAGTATTTTAACCCTACGTAAGACAGCACAATGCTGACTTAAAGCTTCCAAATAGGTATGTTCTGGAATATTGGGGTGGTGTTTGTTTTTTGTGGGTTTTTTTGTTTTGTTTTGTTTTTTACATACCCAATTGCACCCACAAATCTTGCTATTAAAAAGTTTACAAAGACAGTAGAGAGGGATACCTGATATTTTAGACTAAAAAGAACTGCTAGTTAACTGTCAACTGGAACTTTTACTCTTTCACATTCGTTTTAAAATAGCCACGTGATGTAATATACGTAACATTTGACTTTTTTTTTTTCTCCCAGAGTTGGGACAACACAATGCTAAGTAATGGAAAACATGTTCTACAGAAAGAGGGACCCAGTCAGTACAGATATACTACAGAAGGAATGCTCTGGTCAGACTCCAAACTAAAGACTCTAAAAATAGGCCTTGCTGGTTGATTGAACATGCCAGTGCTGCCTGGGATATCCCATTCTTGGTAACAGTTCTCTCTTCAGTGATGTGAAATCTGTCAACAATGTAAAGTGCATCATATACAGCATTCCTTAAAGAGGGGGGTGCAATTTTATCCCACAGAGTGCAAGTTCAAAGCATTTATTTCTGCAGCAGGCAATATTCCCTGGCCTTAAGGCTTGCTGGGGAAAAGAACAGGGAACAACAGGACTACACAGCTTTACCTTTTAGTTATCTGTAATAGTAAACACATCTTCTCATTAACCAAAATTATTTAAGTTCCTGAATCATAAGAATTCGAATTAATTCATCTCACCCCAAAGCCTCCCTTAATCATGCAGCTTCATATTAAAAAATAAATGACAAAACTATACACTAACTTTTATGGCTTGGGACAAGAACATTTAGAACAACTTTCTTTTGCAGACAGGGGCTTGACATTCAGCTCCAAAGTCAAAATCTTACTTAAAATGTCACTATTCCTTCTAACATGAAGTATGACTCGAAGTAATGGCTTTGTCACATGATGTCTCAGCTGTTGAAATGTTCTGATCCAAACAAGCATCAGAGCACTCAAACATGGAATCACATATCACCTACTCGGCATAGCTCCTCTTATTTACGTCTACAGTACAACTTGATATTCAAAAATGCAGCCCTTATGTAAATGTTTTGGGGTTTCTCCCTCCTCCCACTTACTGTTTACATCTTAGGAGAAGGTCATGCTAAGCACATTCATCTACTGTTTAGAGAAAGTAGCGTGATTCAGAGGCATTGTATATTGTTGAAACCTAAAGGTCATTCTACTGTGTTTAGAAACCTTGATACCGATAGTGGAACCCTAATCAAAATAGTTTACTAGATACTACTCCCAGTACATAGTGTAAAGGCAAGAGGAAGATACTACCAACATAATATGAATATTTCAACATTAATGCTGGCAACCCCATCACTTCCATATAGAATTCTGAATTGCATTTCACAACAATAACAATAGTTCTCCAATTTCTTCAGCCCCATTAGAGCAAATAAAGCCTCTTATATTACAACCATGGATATGCACTGTCTTGTCAGCAGTGATCTACCATATGCGTTTAATTGGAGGAAAAATGCCTAAAACATTTTCACACTTAAGTATTAACCCACAGTGACAGGTAAAATGGCGTGCGTGAAGTATTTCCTGACCCCAGAGTGCCACGAGTCTAACAGGAACAGCTGAAGGTTGAACTTCTGAACTGCTGAAGTTCACAAGACAGATATTACAGTCAGCTAGCACCAGTTACACTGATTTCCTTGATGAATGCTTTGAGATTTTCAGACAATAGCAAGAAGTTATTTATTATTTCAGTTAAACAGTTATTATTATCTAAACTGCTGGAAAGCAATGGTATCATGAGAAAAGTTTCAAACTCTGCTAAACCATATAAGAAGGAGAATGTGGACAAACCTATCCTGTAGGTCAGTGAAGGTAAAAGGCATCAAGCAAGTGCTTCAACTATGGTACGATTAGTGATTTGGAACCAATTCATCAGATCTGGAAAAGCTGGTGTATAACTGGCAAACAAATTAATTTTAAAAGAAATGTTTTAAAAAAGCTTTCCACAAAGTATTACAAATTGTATACTAAAATTGTACATGAGGCTTGAAGTCTGCCAGCTGTGTCTGCCCTTCCTTAACCCTGAAGTTAAAATTGCTTGTCTGTTCTCAAACCAGTCATGAATATTGCCATTAAAAAAGGAAAAAATGCAAAACAGTTGAATTATTTTTAAAATGGTGTGAGAATGGTGCAGAGTCTCAACTTCTTTTATCTTCTCTTGAAACAGGAATGCAGATTAGCATGAAGATAACAATGTTCTAACAGTCAGACTATCGAAGAAATAAATAATTGGAATATTACTTATGGAGCTGACAAGTGGCCTGATTACCCCAGAGCCAAACCGGGAGGATACTTTAATGATCAAAACACGGTCAACAACCTTGGTCTTATGCCTAACCAAATAAAAAGAGCAGTTAACCAGCAGCATGTTCTTAACATTATGCTGAATCACTAGATCGGTATAAACCTGAACATGAGTGTTATCAGCTGCATCACTTATGGATGATGCAACTCTTGGAGCATAATTTTTCCTTGACAGGATCCTAATGAAGCTTTGACCACTCTGTTAAGAACACGTTTAACCACAAAATTCAGGGCCTTGTGTACAGAACTGCCCAGGATCACGCGATTATAGTTACACTGTAGTACAGGAACCAGACTAGTTGAAGCTACTGGTACACCTGCACAGCACTGTGTCAGCCTGAGTCGTCTCAGCCTGACAAACTGTAAGAAGCACATCCACATATAAAGTATCTTGCAGACAGTAAACATGCTGTCTCCAGCAAAAGGCTAAATGAAACATTCTTTGAAAGCCATAGTTGTTTCTGATGTTTTACAGTCCTCTGCTATGAGGCCCATTACTGTACGGTACTATTTAAACCAGTAAATATAATATTCCATATCAGTAAATCAAGAGATACTTCTGAAGGAAAATATTGACTGTCTGCTAAGAGAGTTAAGAGATAGTCTACTCAATAAAAATGTCATACCTAGTTGAGAGAGATCCAGTTTTGTCCAATGCATCCCTGTTGGACAGCTGGATGAAAGCGTTCTGATAAATATCTGCCCAAGACTATCCAAACCCCAAATGGCATCCTGGCAGGCAGAGTAGTGCACCATTTCAGTGTCTGGTGGCAGCTGCACCGTAGAAGGACGAAACTGAGGATTCTGATCACTGACACAAAACAGATCCTTGTTGCTTTGGCACAGCCACAGAAAGCTTCCTATTGAAAGGACATTTCTGTTATTAAAATCATTCCTAATCCACTCTGAGAAAGCTTACACATCTGCTTCTTCTGAAAAAACGATCAGTATATTTGAAGACAAAACTAAAGCTTCTTGGCTATGTTCATAGGGTAAGATTTTGAAGCACAAATACACATCCCAAGCCCTTATTTAGGCACCTAAATACTCCCTTTCTCAAATCAAGTAAGTAGTAAGTGACCTCATTTGAAGAAACTAAGAGAGAGAAGACATATATAACATTCTCTCTTCTTTATCCTTGATAATTGCCTTTGAAAAACAGCATTCCTTTTCAGCTCTAAATCACACATTTTTGCCAATAAAGCTAGTGTACTTAGATAACGCAATTGCTAACTATTGTAACTAGCAGTTGAATTCCTTAGCGTGGTCGCACCTTTACCGAAAAAATGTGCAAATTTGCTGCAATTACTACACTGACAGAAGTACTTGGTTAGTATAGGCATTCCAGCAAAGCATACTCTAAGATTTCGTATTACAAATCCTAGCAATTCATGCTGCGGCAATTTAGGAAGTTACTGCTCCTGAAGAATTACCCGTTTCTCTGTTGGATGCCACCCCACACCAAAGGTGGCAAAGTGAATTATATGCCTTTTATTTACCTCCAGTATTTTTACAGACGTGTTTCCACCTTACTTCAAATATTTTAGATCCTTGTATAGAGAAAAGGCACTCAAAATCTGAAGTAATTCAGGATATTTAATTACTTACACCATCAATTCCACTCTATTTATAAAACAGATATTATATGCCTGCACTGTTGATTGACAAACCTTCTTTAGATGAAGCTGTGGAAGCCAACACGAAAATCCATTTTGTGGCAGAAGCAGTACCACGAGGCACAATATTATTCCAGTAAGTGCCTTGAAAGAAAGAACAGAGGGGTATTAGTATGAAACTTAATTTTCTATTAAAATTTGTTATTATTTAAAATGTTACCATTTTAAAGAAATTCTATTGCAATCAATTATTAAGTATCTTCTAGACAAGATTTTCTATGTAAATCCTTCAATAAACTATTGCGGGGGGGAGAAAACCTCCTCCTGGCACACACGTACACGTATGTACACACACACACAGAGAAAATGGGTAATGCAGAAAAGGGGGAAAAGGAGAAGATTAATGGTCTTCAACAGGAGACACATTTGGTGACGAAGTTAAACAGACAATGTTCTAGGTCTATTCTTAGTGTTTACCTGATCAAAGAAATGTACTAAATCAAAATTCTATTTTGAGAAATATAGCAAGAAAAATAAATAAAGCAGTTCCTCTATTATCACTGTAAAATCATAACATTACTGTTTTGCATAGTCACACTGATCATGAAATAGACTCCACTGTGCTAGATATAACAGGTACAATAGCTTAAGATTGCCTTCTCACCCCAGAGAAGAGACAAGCGTAAGTACTAAAAGGAGTAACATGCACAGTTCACTTGTGGAGAATGGTTTTCCATGAAAAATATTTCCCTTTAAATGGGAAAGTATTTAAGACCAAATGCTAAGGAATCATTTCATTTAATTTTTAAACATGAAACTGTTCGTTAAAGCTGCCCTGACTCACCATGTATAAGTTTTGTGGTGACTACTAACTGTAGTTAATTACTTTCTCCTATTTAATTTTCTTAACTTAAAAATATCGGATATAGAAGCACACTAACCTATTAAGTTTCCCTTTGCCACATGAAATTCATTTTTGCCTGAAGAGATCCAGACTCCGCTGCCATTAACTCCAAGGAGGCTGGGTTGACACTGAAGCTGCTGTGACCAAAATGCCATTCGAAGTTTATCAGCTACCTTCTCCACAGGTGCCTGAGCTGCTGTTGCCACTGTATGAGTTGCCTGGATTATCGTCTGGAACAGGCTGCACTGATCAAACACTACATAATCAGTGATGCTTACCTGGAAAGAAAAAAAGCATTCTTGATAATTAGTTAAGCTTTTGAGTGAACTGCAGAATCTTTCATCAGAAGCTTTTTTTGTGTGTGCGTGCTTTATGTACAGGAAATCTATCAAGAGTTTAGAAACCTTCAAAGTGTAGGAAGGCAAAAATAAAAATGGTACAGTAAGAGTCTTGATAATAAACCAGAATCAATATTAAACATCAGCTTACAGCTCCCTCCTACCCAACAATCCACTTTGAATTCTGCATTTTAAGAAAGCCCTTCATTTTGGACTGACTCTTCTCTCTCCCCCTAAAAACACGTTGAACTCTTCAAACTAAGAGGTGAATTTTCAGTTTCCCAAAGGAAGAGAGAAACTTGCATAGTGTAGCAATTTACATCACATCGCAAAAACTTGTACGTAATACTCCTTCACAACACAACCTCATGGGCATTTTAATTCATAAGGCAGGACAAGGTCTAAATAAGCAATTGCCCAAGTTCTGTCATGGACAACTAGGTTGGCAACACTCTGGGATACTCCTAGAAAGGAAGCAAATACTTAAGAGCACAAAAACAAAAGCCGTTTGCCAATAACCTCAAAGCCAAGCTATTCACGACACCCATATGCAAGAAGAGGTTATATATGCACATAAACTGAAATTCTTTTAAGTTAGGTAGACATGTAGACAAACAAATCTTCTGTATAACTGCTTTGTACCCCCTTCTCCCCCACACCTATCTCTGTGGAAAATAAGAAAAGCTGGGGAAAACAAAGAGTCAGGAATTCTAAATCAGTATCAGGGAGTACTTGCAGTAGCTTTGTTTTTGCCCATATGACCTGCGACTGAAGCAGGCAGCCTCATGTGGTTTGAAGAAACCTCAACTGAATGAAAAAATGCGTAAAAAAAAAAGCATCTTTGCAAGGCTACTTATTATTTATTTCATCTAGCTAAGGAAAAGGATGGGTACTGGAAGACAAGAGACTGCATCCAGCAGTCAGACTTGAACACTCTGCCTAAACAGGATGTCCTATTGCCACCGTTAAGATACCAAGCTACATGCACCATTGATATGACCTGGTAGAGCATTTCTTGTGTTCTTGAAAACTGCTGTGACGCTGCTCTGGATGACCATGGGATTTTTTTTTTTTTCCCCCTTTTTTACGGCAGACATAAAAAGGGATTTCAGCCATAGCCACACTGCGGTTTTAGTATATTGAATGAAGAGTGCTACAATATATCAAACAATTCATTGAATTTTATCTTAGAATCTCACAGGGAAACAATGCAAATAATAAACCCAAGGTAAAAGACTAAACTGAAAGCAAAATTAAAAAATGCCTACTTGCCACCAATGGTTATCATCTCCTTGTGGTTTCTTTGAAACTATACCAGTTCTGAACCACAGATTTCCATGGATATCCAAAGCCCATAATGTCTGCTGATCTCCAAGCGTTATGCACACTGGTTCCAAAGCTTGCATTTCACTGGAAATGCAAACAAGTAAAAAAATTAAAAACCTTACTTCAGATTTATGCTGACGGTATTTTAAGGAAGCTGTTATAATGCTAACAGCAGTTCAAAATGATCGAACTCAGTGTGGCCAAGCTCAAAAACACATTTGATTTCAAATTCTCACAGTTATTTAGTAATTCAAATTTTATTAGTTTGCATAAAAGTAAAAACCATTCAACAACAAAAAATAAACTTCAAAGATCACTCGAGCTTTGAAACTTGGATACATAACAATAAAACTAAACAAAAACAAATTTGTTCAGTAAATAAGAAACAAAGAGCTGTGTTCTTTAAGTTTTTGATAAAGCAGCTTCATAAATGTATCTCCTCCAACTTCCTTGACCTATTCTGAGAACAATACTATCAGTTCAGGGACCATAAACGAGTTGCTTTCTGCAACTTTAATAGAAAGCCCAAGAACATTAAGTGTACCCAAGGCGTAGGTCAAACAGATATTTTCATTAAATAAACTAATTAAAGTGCATGCAAATTTCAGATTTGAACAAGACACTGAATGTTTCCTTAGAATTTTCAAGACCCAAATACCAGGCTGGGAGGTAACACAAGTTAAAGCTTCACAACAGGATAGTCAGTAGAAGATAAAATCATATGATGACAAGAACTGGAATTTCTTCCTATACTTGCTTCAGGCTGATGTCACAAGAGAGACTATATTCTAGATTCTCAAAGACAGCAGTAAACTCTCAGTGCTTTTAACTTTACCACAAACTCACTACCGTGAGCATAGGATCAACTACAATGCTAAATACCAATTATCCAGAATATTTGTAAAAATCTGCGACTGGGAAGTGGAAAAGTATTATCAAGCTGTATGGATGACCAAGAAAATGCTGAGATTTAATCTCAGAAAAAATTCACTCAAATATCTGGAGAGCTCATTAAAGCCATTATGGCACAGATTAAAGAAACAGTATTTAATCAAAAAAGTCATATTGACAGACATTATAAAGATCTTTTTAAAACTGTTCTCACTTTCTTAAACTCGCTTTAACTGTGTTACCACTTCTGTTTACGGCAATTTCTTTCATTACATAGCAGTCATTCATCAGACAGAAAAACACCAGTTACTCTGAATATGTCTGGACAAAGGCTAAAGGACATACGTGTATATACACGTGCACACACACACACATATATATGTATACACATGAGTTCAGGTAACACTTTTTCAAACATCAAGGAGCTCCAGCACTGAAAACAATTATTTGTGTCGTTCTGGTTATGATGCCATCCCACCACAGTGTCATTACCTGACAATATCACTCTTCCATTGTTCTCCTTCAGGACAAAAGCTGCGTACTCCCTCCCGGTATAGCAGGGCCCGCTGCTCACTCAGTGCCCACACAACATTATTTCTGGATGTAACCTGCGACAGTGGATAAGGGCAGTCAACCTTTACTGCTCGGGCACAAGGACGATCCACACTCAGGCCTAGAAATCAAAAAAGGAGGATTGCTTTACAAACTTTGGGTTTTTCTGCAACTAAAAGAAAAGAGACAAAGCTACCCAACAAAAGAAAATGAGGAGGGCAATATCCCTGACATGCTAACGCTTTTAATTTGATCACTATTTCATTGATTGACTGTTTTTTCTATAAACTATTAATCATTTCCTCTAATATAGCTGAATTTATATTTTAAGAAATAAAACACTGTATATCCTTCAACACCCTGCAGAGCGCAGAAGTCCTGTCCTGCAATTTCTGTTCCTTTTCTCCCTCTAGTGTCAATATAAGGAATCTCCATTTATAAAACCTGTATTAGACTTGGCAGAAGCATCAAAGAAAAAGGCAGTAATGGAAGAACTTTTGCCTAAAACATGCCAGGGAGAGAGGCAACGCGATCTGAATGGTGGCATCACAGCAATTACAAAAGAGCATTCCACAGTGTGTAGTACTGAAAGAAGGAGACAGGTTCTGGTAGATTTACAGGTAGTTTGCACACATTTATACATATAATCTAGAGGAATACATCTTCTTCATAGTTACACTGAAGCTTGATTTGCATGGCTGCATGTGAAACACCTCAAGAGACATACTTTTGCTTAATCTTCTCATGCTGCCAAAGCAAGTATGAACAGGCTCATCTGTATGATATTCTAAAATAACAGGAAGAATGCTCATTTCCAAACCTCTGAGCACACACTTTTGTTATAGAAGTTAGGACAGTGGATAGAATGAAAAGATACTGGCTAAACAACTATCACTGGTTGCCTCCCATTAACAAGACAGATGTACTGAGAATTTATTTTTGGCATCACAAACAAATTTAGAAGCCTAAGAACAGCAGAACGTAAGCTGATGTAATCAAACCAATCTCTCACAGGGAAGAAAAATATTGTTTCAAACCTCCACAGAACCCTGTGTGCTTGGCATCAAAAGTTCACCCTTTATCACCACTATCCGTGCTTGTTGGCAATATGCATGTGACTGTGGGCAAGCCACTTGATTTCTCTGTAACTACTACACTTAATTAAAAGAAAATAATTTACAAGTAGAGTATCTTTGAAACAATGCTGTGTATTTAAACAGTTTTCTTAATCACAAAGAACTTCTATATTGTGCTACAGCAATTAAATCTGCAAGAGAAATTAGGAGAGTACCAGAATTAAATGGAAGATAAATAAGAATTTTGATAGCCGTTCTGAAATATTGTCCTGCTTTAGTGTGTCTTAGCATTTCCCCCTTACCCAGTCCTCCTCTTACTTCTCCAGTAATTCCTTCATCATGTTATTTGTCATTTTTCCTTACCAACTCAACTCTCTGTGCAAAGCCCGCATGCCCAAGAGTCCTTGATACTCTTCTCCCTTAACTCTAAAACTTGGAGCTCCATCCTTCATCCTAGCTCCTTGTATTTAGCCTGAATATTGTTTGCATAACACCTTCCAAATGCATCCTCTTCTGTTCATTGAAGCGGATAAAACTAAGGCCATGACTTCAAAGTTGCCACTGCACTATCCCTTTTTCTGATTCTTGCCTCATTCACATCCAGTGAGAAGGCAGCTGTAAAGATTGCTGCTGCACAGCCCATTCCATTGCTCTCCTGACTTTGCTTTCTCTATCACATAAAATACATACCACTCGCCTATACTTCCAAAGCACTTTATGATCGTCTGTCTCAGAATACCCTCCTTTCATTATCAAGTGGTAACTTACTTCCAACAGACATGTGCTTTTCAAAACACACAGCCTCTACTTTCCCCTACTCTGCCGCCGTACCTGACTTTCCTCTGAACAGCCACACGCTATCTCACTGCCTTTCAAGGTTCTTCTTAAAACTTTGTTAAAATCCTTAAAGCAAGAAAAGAAAACCCGCTTAAAGCCCAGTTGTTTCAGTGCACCAGACCACTTTCAAGGCAAAGATATTATTTCAATATTTTCTGCAATCCTTTCCATTTACCTGCATCCATCCCATATCCTTCCCGTGTCATAAATTCTCTATACTGTATGTACTCCACTTGACAAACTAAAAAAGTGGCCATGAACTGGCTTTTCCAGTCTCCTAATTACACAGAATCTCACAACTGTTTCCAACCATTTCTCAAGATAAAAAGGTTTCCTTGTGTCCTGGCTGTGGATAACAGTTTAAAACAAATTGTGATGATACTATAAACTTGAACTCTAATAATCTTAGCCTGCAAAATTTCAAAGAGCCTGCAATTAATTCAGGTACCTGTTTGCAGATACAGATCTCCATTTGTTCTGATAATCCAGGCGGTGTCATCACTTAAAGCTACAAATACAGCCTGGGGTAAAGCCTCATACCAGTGGCGTTTTCCTTTTATAGTTACTTTTCCACAAGCAAATGCTTTGTTAGTCTTCTGTTCAATCTTCCAGAGAAGAGCCCCTGTATGAGGAGTTAAGAGAGAACATAATATCACTTAGTAATTACTGTAGCAGAGACAGCTGACTTGCCCTACCTACACCTAAATGTGAGGGGAAAGGCAAACCCGTAGCATTAAACAAAAATGCAAGATTTAAAAACGCTTATAAGTTTTTTTTAAAAAGCAAAACCAGAACAGTGGCCAACTTCTCTAGGAACTGCTGAAATGCATTTACCGTTAGAGTATGTGCAATTTTTAAATGTTCAAATGCAAGTCACTTCTCCTTAGTTGCACACTGAAAACTCACAAAACAAGTTCCAAGTCGGGGCCAAATAAGCCTACTATTAGGAGGCTGAAGTTCATGGTTTGCTTCTGTACTAGTTTGGTACATCCTCGGTACCAAAAGGAAAACGGTTTAATTATAATACTTTCATCTTTTACAAATACTAGTAGTAAAGCGTAACTTTTGTGGACCAGTCATGAGTGACAAACAGCTGAACAGGTGTGCTGTCCCACAGGGCAGTGGGCAGTGCTATTACCTGCTTGGTACATAGCATGTTGCGAGCAAAACTCAGAAACGCAACTGTACAAATACATCTTGAGAACTTTTTCCCTCACTCGAATTAGCAAGGACAACTCAGAAAAAGAAAACCGAATGGAATTCCAAACTTAACTGCTGATTGGCATCCATGGTGGCTCATACCAGAGCAGTACATTGTCACATTAACTTCCTTTGAATAATTCCACAAAGTCGCATTTGATTCCATTTTTATGTTTGTGGTTAACATGCTCTTGTGTTTACACATCCACGCGAAACTGTGGATGTTAGAAATTTGTATGGGTTCAATGAAAAAGTGGGTGAGTTCCTGGAATTGAGGGATAATAAATGCAGAGAAACAACCTTTTGCCCAGGAAATCTCTGAGTCACCAACAGTTGCAGTCTGAAACTACCAAGGGCAAACGTCTTGCATGCTAGCCCATTCCTTTTGCTTTTCTGCAGGCATCTGCTTTTGACCACTGTTAAGGACAAGATATTGAGTTGGATGAACCTATGATCTCACCTAGTACAACTACTCTTACATTTTTTTGTCCATAATAAAGCTCAGCTACAGATCAAATAGAACGACTTTCTTCTTAAAACAGACAGCAAATCTTCCCCTACAGAGAGAAGGGAAGATTGACACGTGCTTTTAGAGATGACAGGGGAAGAAAAGTAGTGGCAAGGCAGAAGACTAAGTAAAGAAAATGTCTGAAAAACTTGTATTTTCACACCAGTCCTGGAACAATCTGGAAGGCCAAAAGTGACACAAGTTTATAACCAAAACCTGTTTAATTTTAATCTAACATAATCCTCATTCCCAACCATCCAGAACAAACTCATATGCAAATGTACCAAAAATTAAAAAGTTTTTTCTTTAGTATTAAAAAAAAAAAAAATCAACAAACCAACCCATATACAAAACCAATTCTACATTTACAACAAAAAGAATTTTATATTTGGGAATCATAAGCAGTTCTATATCAAAAACCAAGGTTTTGTATAGACAAGGGCCTCTTCATTCATCTCCGCCTACCACTGAACTGCTACTTCTGAAGTTCACTTTAATCAGACAGCCGCATGTTGAAAACTTCCCAAAAATGCAATGTGAAACTGTTAGAAAGACAGCCACTTAAACTAGAACATGGGAACCCAAAGACACTACTTTTACATGAAACAAGTCCCAAACAACCAAGTTTCTGGAACTACCGTATTAAAAAAAAAAAAAAACAAACAATAAATTGCCTATGAGGAAATTATGTATGCACTGAACTGTATTTGTAATCTCAGAAAAATAACAAGCTTCACCTAATTAAACAATAGCCATTATTAAAAAAATAAGAAAAGCAAAGAAAACGCACAAGTCTACACAAGTTTTCTGTTTATGGGGTTACAGGGAAGCAGAAGCCAACCAACCTGAGGGGGAAACTGCCACCTGCTGCACACCGTCTTCAAACTTCTGCCACCGCAGCCCCGCTGCAGGAAGAGCGCTGCAGTACAGGCTGCCTCTGTAGTCCAGGCACCAAATATACTTTTCCGAGACGACCAGGCTCAGGATGCCGTAACCAGGGCCAGAGTATCCCATCCAGCTCTCTGCAAACTAAAAACTGTAGAGTCAGAACAGTGTCAGATGTCTTCAAACTGCGCAAGAAAATGGCTATATAAGCACAGCAGCTCCCATGTTTTAGTTTAAAAAAGCTAACCTTAAGGTTCTTAAGTACGTTAATCAATGAATAAATTTGCCTTGTGTAAAATAAAACCACATCTGTCCGTGTTCTCTAAAGATAGTACGCACTGTGAAATAAGACTGCTAGAACAAGTTTTAGCAGGGGGGAAAAAAAGAAAAGCAACCCCAAACACCAAACCCTCCACACTGTCATCTACCTCCAAAAAGTGGAAAATCTTCCCTTATTAATTAAAGATCACGTACTTAAAGGAATGCAGATGCAAAAAGGAATACATAAAAATATACTGTCTGTCTGTCCAGGACATTATTTATTATCTATGAAGTGATGAGCAAAGGGAACAAGATAGCTGGAGCGCAGAGACAGTTAAATAGCCAACTCCAATACTTTCTGTATGGTACAGAAGCCATGTATTGCAGAAATTTGGTTTACAGTCTGCTATCTTAAATTTTGATAGTTTGCATGATGTGACCCCAGGCACTGCATACATGACCTATAAGGTAAGCATGTCTGGAGCTTTACTAAACATTCCAGAGTGTAAGAATATCATAACCTGAAACTAAAAGTCTTCTACGCTCTGGGCTGCGGTTGTTACTAAATAGGACACCATTAACTTGTAACTCAACCTTTATCAACAAGTATTTGGTTGATCTCAATGCAACGCTGTTACAGATTTAAAAAAAAAAAAAAAAAACCAAACAAAAAAAACAACCAACCCAACCTAGAAGAACTGTATTTCATTCTTAAGACTTCTGCTAAAACTCCCAGTTATTTTGGCAATTTTGCAGATTTTACAATTAATTTTAGTACTTGTTTTCTATAGTCTATTTGAGAATTACTATTTCTGGAAATGTTCACCCACAAAATAACAATGAAGAAAAGAGGGATAACAGAAAAAGAAAAGACGTCAACATTTTAAATAGCACTAACTGTTGTCTAGGACACAAAGAAAGATTAATCCTTATTCTGAATATTTACAGGTAAAATGATCCTTAACCAGAGGCCAGCCACATGAGAGTCAGCATTAATTCCCCATGAAGTCAGTTGAAGTTGGGAACAGCATCGTGCAGAATTTGGGCTACTGGAGACCCAAACAAGGAGCAGCCTTTGAGCACAACTTGGTTTTACTGTTCACTCTTTAACGGATGGGGTTATGACAGCATTTTTGTTGAGTTGGGAATAATACAGCCAGTGCAGCTTCTTCACATTGTAAGCACACATCAACCATTCTGAAGTCTGATACATCACATTTCATAAGAGTTACAACACATATTGCTGTTTGGCTTTATGCTTTACTTGTTTACTCAAATCAAGTAAGAAAAAAAAATTGCTTTCCTAAAGAAGTAAAGGACAGCAATTACATGAATGTTTCTTTTGAAATGCTGCAATTAAGTATTTTAACTAAATCGAAAACATATACCTGATCAGATTTTAACAGCACCATTTCGTCTAGGCTTATCTTGGCCACATCCTGGGAACCAGGCCCAGCACCAACTTCAGGCATGCTAGTCTCCGAGGATGAATATGGTAATCCATGTCCATAAATATCCTCTTCATCACTTGAGGCAGATTTCTCAGTCTTACTTTCATGAGTGTCTGTTACCCATTCAGCAGTGCTAGTACTAGATTTAGCTTTGATTGCACTTTCAAAATTCCATCCAGAAATGGAAGTGTTATCTGAATAAACATCGTTGGAAATGTCAAAGTGGAGCACAGAAGGATCTGACAGAGCGCTGTGTATTAGAGAGAGCTGCTGTTGGTCCTCCCTACCAGTTTCATCACTCTCCTTCGGCGTCAGTGATGTCTGAACACCAAGTACACTGTCACATTCCAAAAACATTTGGTCTGGAAGGTCTGGCTCTTCAAAAGATTTTTCAGTGTCCTGCAGCTTCATTTTATCTAAATTTTCATCTATTTTACACAATGTAGGAAAATCCTGCTCCTCCTCTTGGCTCAGCTTTCCAAGACAGCATTCATTGCTTGCAAAAACCACACTACCATTATATTCACCATCAACACTGCTTGTCAAGTCTTCTGTGAGGATTACAGGAGAGACAGATGTCAAAGTATCTGTAACAGCTGAAGTACCCATGCCACTGTCACTGTTTGGAAGTTTCTGTAAATCAACCATATCTCCATTTTCTTCATTAATTAGTACAGTTGCAGACTCAGGAGACTGTAGGACACTGAAAGTTTCTGAACCATTATCTTCTTGCAAGATCGTATGGGACTCCACACTGAACACACTTTCCTGATCTGGAGATCCGGTACTCAAACGATCAATGCTGCCACTCATTAGGCTGGAAGTTATGGAAAAGGAGTCTGCATTCAATGAATGTGGACTATCACCAGAAAGCTGACGCTCATAAATTGGTGTACCTTCCAGAGAGGTGTAGTTTTTCCTGGTCCCACTTTCTGTTCTCACAAAACAAAACAAAACGCCAAAAAAAAAAAAAAGGAGGGGGGAATAATATTAATAAAATCTATTACATTTTGATGCAAAGTAAGAAATTAAAATATTTTTATCACTGGGGGAAGAACAGAGTTAAATCTAAATTTTCACATACTGGTTTTTTTCAACTTGAACACTAAATGATATATATAAAGCCAAAAAAGTCTTAATAGCAAAACATTTTAAAGTTGTAATACCAATATAGTAAACAATTAGAATAATCAAGTACTCATACTATTTTAACAAACTAAAAAGCATGGCTAAGAAAGACACTGTCAAATATTCTAAATACTATTAATAGATAATCGTATAGATTAATAGATATTACACAATTCCAACATAAAACTGGAAGCAGGTAACTGTATGTTACCATTAACCCATACATTAGAACCTTAAGCGTGTTTACATAAAGCAAAACAAAGTTAAAAGAATAAAACAAATATATCTAAAAAGACTTAATTTATCACTTTCAAAACAGGCTTTCATCTTAAACATAAATGACTCACCACAACCATGCAAATATCTCAAGAGCATGACAATATAATATAAACAAAGCATGTCAAACACACACACTCTCTTGTGTGAAACATCAAAAGTGACATGTTCTGATAATGAGCAGTAGCAGGGAAAGTTCTGCTAGACTTACCTTGTTTCTTCTTTTTTCTCTTTTTCACTTTAATTGGCTTTACAATGAGTTCTTGATCAAAATCTTCAGAGCTGATTGAGCTGAACCGTTGTGAAGAAAGCTGACCTTCTCTCTGAGCTTCTGAAAGTTGGTCTGCACATACCATAAAACTAGAGCCACTGTCCACAGAATTTACTGAGCTGCTCCTGCTTCTTGATTCACTTACTACAGAGCAGCCCCTTTTTCTTGTTTCACTGCTCAAGTCTCCCACTCGATCAAAACTTTTCTCCGATAGCACTGGAGTTTCCAGATCATCTTTCACTAAAGAATAAGAGTCATTTTTATCACCAGTAACTGAAGGGGAAGTAACCATTTTTTTATTTGTTTCCACTGAAGGGCTAGATGATGTGGATGCAATTACCGATAATGGGGTCAGCAATTTAGGACTCGTATCTGTTAAAGGATTCGTCAATTTTGAGTTCACATCTGAAACTGACCAAAAGAAAAATAAAAGTATAAATACTAGTGTGTCAAGTGAGTGGGAGCATAGTTCTTGGAGAGTATTGAAAGAAAACAAGCTTCATGCAATGGAAAAACATTCTATTTAAGTTCACAACATTTCAAATATATATATGCACATACACAATGTAAACTTCATGTAAGTATATCTATACGAAATCATTTTAGTAAAATCAATCCCCCAAAACCTGTATCAAACACGTATTAGCAAAATTCTGAACTTATGTTTATGTATGAGGAATGGTACAGGTCTTTTGCTTGGAAGACTCAACTGTATCACACCCCCTGTATCTTTGACTTCTTTATTCAAACATTCAGTATCTTGAAAAAAATCAAGGAAAATTTACCAGATAAACCACTGTGGTAATTAGAAGAAAATATACTTCAAGAAGGCTCCTTTCAAACTATACTTGGAAGTTAAGATTAAAATAAACACCCCCTAGAAGGTTGTGAGTAAAGAACTGCTTAAATGACTAAAGCTATTGCTAATATGCAATGATAAGAAAGTTAAGTTCTCTAGCATTCAGTGAGACTTCATAGCATATTTACTAGCGTTTTGCCAATACAAAGCTAAGATGGAGTATTTTAAATGCATCAGTAGTCCTTCTGCGAGTGTAATATGCTGGATAACGATGTTTACAATCTTTATGATTGAGAAATCAGCTAGCACCATCATTAAGGAAGTATTATTAATTCCTTTTAGAGAGTCCTAGTAACATAGATGTTGAACTCGGATGGCAACAAATAAGAAAAAAACCTCTCTAACTCCTTTTGGAATTTTAGTGAGTATTCTTTGGTTTTTTTGACAGTTCTTTCTTTTCATTGCTAGGAAGGCTGAGATCTCCTCTAGAATGTGGGTGGTGACAGGTGGCACAGAATCAACATATTCAGATATCTCCAACCCAGACAATTGAGATTGATCAGTAGAGAACCAGGATCAGGAATCCAGATTGCTTCAGCATCATGGTTTAGAATAAGGTCTCAAATGCACAGATTAGAAATGCCTGGCTAGGATAATGCTGATCCACTCTCAAACAAAGGGAACCATAATTCATTTCTTAATGCCCTCACTCTCACTGCAGACAAAACAGAAGCTCAGATGAGCAGATAAATGAGATCTCTCTATATAATCTGTAGAAACAGATAAGTAACTCTACAGAACCTGGTAGGTTTTTGCAATAACCTGAAGGTTTTTGTGTGGCATTTGGTTTGGGTTTTCAAGAGTTTTTTTAATTTGGGTTTTTTTGGGGGGTTTTTTGTTGTTTGGGTTTTTTTGGGTTGGTTTTTTTTTTTTTTAATATTAAAAAAGTAAAATAGGCACCATGTTCCATGAGGTACAAACCATAGTTTAATTTATACAAACCTATTGATGACAGTCCTTCAGGTCTACTTGAAATTCTTATTATGTCTCTATCTCCCTTTAGGAGAAAAATCTCATTGTTGGTACAAGACACAGATACAATATCACCATATCCTTCCAAGCCACCAATCAAAGCCTATAAAGAGTCAACACAGAAAGAAATAATTGGCATCAGATTAACACACTGTTTGGACAAAATGCTGCTCTTAACAAAAAGTGTTCACTGGAATTTAATCAAGATATATTGTTACAGAGTAAAGATTTTATCAAAAAGAAAGGAAAAAAAAAAAAGAAACAGGAAAGCACCCTTTAATCATGACATAGCTCATTTTTATCCTAATTTTAATTCCATAGATCTGTTCGCTTTCTCTGTCCAAACTAGCAGCAACAATATAACAACTTAAACAATATGCAATTTGATGGTAGAAAAGAGCCACAGTACAAATGTTTAATACCATTTAGACAAAGATATTAACTTGTATACACTTTCATACACATTTTTAAGGTGACAAAAGCTAACAGCTCACTCTATACCAAATAAAATGTAATACTTGTTTTTTTGCAGACACCAACAGTAGTAGAAGGGAAAGAATAAATAGTTCCAGGCACATTTTAGAGGCCTAAAACTTCTTTTTGCATTAAATTACTACATTTTAGATTTATATAAGCTTTGCTAAATATCAGAATTGCTTATGATGTTAACACCTGGACTGAAAGCCTTCAATATATGTAATTTTTATATATAATATATCGAGCTAGTTTGTGAGTGTATCATTGCAATGACAACTTGAAGAGAGAGAGAATAAAGTTTTCTTTGTTAGGTTTAAATATAGATTTAAATCATAGAAGCGTAATGGATAACACAAAGAAAGACTCACAGCATAGCATGAACAAAAACAAGTGAAAAACAAAATATGCACCCGCAAGATTTATCTACCTGGTTCACAGTGTCTAGTAAGTAGATGCTGTATTCGTTCCAGGTCAGCACCCATCCTTCTCGGAAAAAGCATGAAACAAGCCCAAGGTGTTTCTCTGGGGAGCTGTAACTTCCTCTGTCAGGTGGTTCCAAACGAGGATACAGTTCAAAAGTTTTTATTCCTCCAGCAAATATATCTTTCAATATGAATGTGGCCTGAACAGTTCCGTGAACATCAGACTTCCAGAGACGAAGCCCAGGTCTGGCAGCAAATAGCGTCAGGTCACTCTGTTTACATAGGCCAGGTATAAAACATGCTCCAAATTTGCCAGTGCTAAAATACAAAAGAAGAATTTATTTTAAAAGCTATATACTCAACTTAGAAACAATTTTTAAAACTAATGGCACAAATTTACAACTGCAAATTATAAAAAAATTTAAGTTTTGTTCTTTGATTAAAGTATTCAGCCAAATGTCCGAAGTACAAATTTGGTTACAGTAAGACAAGAATAGTGCTGCTAAGTAACAACAGTTTTCGCTCAGCTTTAGATGTCAGACACTACATTTATTAGGCAAGTTAAATGACTCCTCCTAATAAGCTTCATAGCCTAACAGTACTCTCTGTCCACCTCAGAAAGATCCTGCTATGCAGTCATCCTTCTCCCAGAATTAATAAAGAACAAGTAAAACACTACAAACTAATGCTAAGAAACTGACAACCTCTGCTTGCAAGCAGCAAGGAACAGACCTTAGCTGTTAAAATCTTCATCTCTCATGCATAAAAACACCATTACTATGACCCAAGCAATCCCCTTGTTTCTAAGATGGTCCTTTGTATTCCTCTTACTATTCATAGCCCTGAAAGATACGTTATAAATCTTCTTTCAAGAGTCAATTTCCTCTACTTCCAGATATGGTCAGTCATGCTGTTCTAAGACTGGGTTCCCTATTCCTTCATATCTGAGCGAGATTACACAACAGAAGATACCAGAAGGTCATACAAGAAGTTCCAAACCTTCAAGTCAACTTTAAGTGCTTCCTATACATTTTCTCTTTTAATTCACTTCAGTGTATAAGAAAAATTGGGATGCTGACTTGCTTTTTGCATCAGATATTACATTACCCATTAGATGGACCTGATTACAACACTCGCTCACATCAAGTCTCAGTAAACCAAGAGGGACTGCAGAGGAAGTTTGGCAGTAACTTTGGTTTAAACAATGAGAAAACACCTTAAATATTTTTGCATAATAGTGTCCTGAAAATATGATTGTAACATATTTGCAACCATGTACTTTCTAAGTAGGTAGAATTGTCATTTCATGTTTGAGCACACATAGCTAGTGTAACTAACTTTTTATGAGAGGACTGCTGTGTTGTATTAATTTCAATGCTTAGATCACTCTTTCTGTAATCCACTCTGAAAAGCTAGAATTAATAGATGTGCCTGCATCAAGATTTTATGAGGGTTACTTTTTTCTGGGCTGTGTTCCAACTTGCTTGACAGATTTCTCTTCTGTGTAAAAAAGTAGAGTCCGTTGTAAAGTAGAGACAAGCAGCACTTTCTGGTTGTAATCCAACTGGACGATCGAAGATGGCTCTTCCAATACAAGGCTGGAGTTGCAAATACCCTTTTAAAGATACAGGCAATTAACAAAAGTAAACCTTTCTAAAAATACAAGGTAATAACTAACACTTCAAAGAAACTAATAAGCCCAAGAAAGAGAAAACAAATAAACAAACAAAACCTTTTGAACTACTGTTGCACGAAGTTCACTTAATGAATGTGGAGTTCCTTCATGCAGACAAGAGGGGAGTTAGATTGTGTGTACCACAGTGGCACACTATGAAATTCAATTTCTCTTGGAATATTAGCTAACACATTTCACTTGAAATCCACAGAAATTCTAGGGCACATTTTCTTCCTCCTTCTCCACTGGAGATGTTAAACCTTTCTGTCAAATCAAATGAGGGACAGTCATAGGTAAATCAGGATGGCTGTTTAAACTTTTGTCCCATATAGAAACTCAAGTTAGTATTTATTTTGTTGACGTCCCAGGCCTGTATGAATTAACAAGACATTAGCAAAATTCCATTTACTGGCAACATGCTAGTCACCCAGTAGAACCCAAATGTTAACTTTCATTCTACACTCTAGACTGAGACGCTAAACAATTCTGGAAAAAGTACTTTTTCAATATAGTGAATCAGCAATGTCACATCATTCAAAAGTACCCTTCCCAAACAAAACAGAAAGTACTAGCTGAAAGCTGAAGGAAGATACGATAGTTATTTCAGACAGAAATGTGATGAGAAGGATGACCACTGTTGTTTTTATGTATTATTTTTTAATAAACGTAAAACAGTTGTGAAGGATATCCAGTGGCTGTCTTGCTGGGTGTGCACACACTTGGCCAAGTGTACGCATACCAAGAAAGCAGTCCAACTCAATACATGATACTAAGCAATTAACTAACTGCTAAATATTTAAACACACAAGCATTCTTTCAGAAAATTGTAAATGGGAATTAAGGTGTCTATAATAAACGCTCACCTGGTCTAGGTCTAGGGCAGAGTAGACAATCTTCCCTTTGTCATCTCCAGAGAATAATTTCATTCCATTGGGACTCCAAGCTAAAGCTGTAATGCTACTTTTATGGATACCAGCAACGTCAAATCTCCGAAGCTGTGAAACAATACCAAAGCAATACAAGAATGAGGGGAAGAGAAAAATGGAGACACGAAGCCTATTCAGTGACTCTGACTGATAAATTGGAGATCAAGTACAAACATGCAGGTCATTCTGATTTTTATTTAGCACAAAAAACCGAAACAAACAATCAAAAAACCCACCACCAAATAGCTCAGCCAGTTGTTACAAATGAGGAATTTCTCAAAAGCATTTTTTATTAAGTATATCTTTTGTAATGAAAAGCATGCTGTAAGATTATTGCTTTTATAAGCTTAACATATGAAGCCTACGACATATTCACAGATATTTCATCAAGCAAAATTCTGTGTTTTTTACTATTATAAAGAATCACAGTAACACTCTACTAGGATTTGCCATATTAAACCTCACAGAAGTTTAGATGCAAAGATTTACCTGTTTGTTTCTTCCAGGTAATGAAGACACAAGCTGAAAAACTGCAACCCGACCTGAGGCTGTACCAACAGCAACCAGATCATCGAAACAACTCAACAGCTTTACAAAAGTAATAGATTCACACTTCCCCTGTTGAAACGAACCATACATAAAACTTGCAAAGTTAATGAGAGACAAACAGCAGCTCAATTCTGAGCAACTCAGCTTCATTAGAAGAGACAAGACTAAAAGTTAGTATTTACCTCAAAATTATATTTTTTCATCTGGTTTAAATGTCTGCAGTAGAGATAAAGCATTCCAATACTGCTCCCCACAGCAATGTAGTCTTCATTGGTATCAAGTGCTGTGAGGTATACCACAATAGAGCGAAACCCTTTTTGGACCTTTGTGGGAATGGCATTGAGAAGGTAATATAAGGGACAAAACTCCTTAAATATAACCGGTGAAGCCACAGATGCCATAGCAAGCATTGGCATCAGCAACTTTAAGGCTGAAATAAACACATCTACTTGACCACATAAGGAAATCTGAAAGACAAAAGCAAAAGACCTATCATTAGCTTCTTGGAAAGAGGAAATGGTTAACAGAAAGCCACCATTTAGCAAGTAAGGATGCAGAAATTCTTGAGTTCTATTTTGTATAAAGAAAAAGCAAGTTAAACTCTTCTGTAAGTCTGTAAATGTAAGTTATTCTTAGAATAACCTTTTTCTTAAGAATAAGCTTATTTCTTAGGTTCAGCCAATATCCAAGGATGTATGGTAACCACTAAATATGGAATAATCACTTTTTCTTGCAGCTGTGAGCTTGTCGAATTTGAGTTCAAATGCAGTATTTCTTCTCATCTGGCTAGTGAAAGAGCCGTAAGGGCTCTGACACTGAACAATCCATGCAGTATATTTCTTCATCTATCTGCAAACTCTACCCTCAATCCTCCCAGTGCTGAAAGCATGGGATATTCACTGTGTTAGACAGTGCTATAAGATCAAAGCATCAAACTAGTATTTATGCTCACCTCCTTAATGCCCCACACCCCAAGAAAAACATGGTTGAGAAACAATTCAGTTAGAGCTACATCTGCTATATAATCAAATAACAACCAAAAAATAAGAACAGTGTGGGAAGAAAGGGGCAATGCAAAAAGGCAACAAATCCCAGTTAGACAGACACAGGAAAATATCTATGTAGCAACGGAATTTAGAAAGATAAGGAGCAAACAGAAACAAGTACCATATGCCCATGTTTCCCTTTATGGTTAAGCAAATAATTTCATACTGATAAGCAACACCGTAAATACACTGAGGGGACAACTCCGGTATCTTTCTAAGAATAACTGAAACAAAGATTCTGTTTGCCGCCTTCAAGAAAAAAACGTAGGCAGAGCTCATCGCAGTAATAATGTACTGGGATCTTCAGAAAAAGATGATATGAGCATGACGTATGTAAAAATATTTTAAAAAATTAATTAAACCCAGTAATTTTTCTCTTCATGGTGTGACAGCCTTGACAAGAACATTTTGCAGCAGTAGCTATTCTCCTCATGGACGACTTTGGAACACAGAAAAGAAAAGAAACCTTCACTTCTTGAATTTTATTTTGCCACAAGCAAGTCTGATTAACAGAATGGTTTAGAATCTGCCAAAAATACCTGCAGTTTTCCAAGACAAGGATTTTGGATTTCTATAAGGAAGAGTTTTCTACCATTGTTTAAGCCCATAACATTGAAGATTTTATTAAGCCTCAGCAGTTATAACTTCCTTAGAGAAATAAAAAACAGAACTATGCCAATTGAAGTTAGAAACACTTCTGAATGCTCAAAATTATTCTGTAAAGTATTCCTACTGCAATTTGTGTGATATGTCCTATTGTGCCTAGTTTTATTTCTCTAAGGATGGAAAACGGTTTGGCAGCTTCACACATTGCTTACAGCGCATATCAACTAAATAAAAAAAAATATGGCTGCTCTAGTTTAATATCTCCATTACTGCAAAAAGCTCTGATGCCTCAATTTTCAAACTATTTCAGTTATTGTGCAAGACGATTCAGCACACTGGCTTTGGGCCCTGCAACACTTGCTGTCAACATACAATTCTACTAAATCCAAAGGGATTACTTGCATGACATTACCCATTCGAGCCCACGTTAGACAAGACCACAGGAATAAAGATTGGTTACTGGACCCATATTTTATCTGTGTTACAAAAACTGCCAGTAAATAAGCTAGCAGCAGTTATTAGATGTTCTTAATTGTGATAAATTTTACTGCTTGCTAGAGCTTAGAAATTAATTCCACTCTCCTCCAGTGTTTACTACCTGTCATGACACCTATTTCATTAAATATCACAACGATTAGCTGATTAACGTGTCCAAACTATTTTTGAATGAAGAATTCCTTTCAGAGTTGTTTACTAAGTTAACAGATAACCTCAGTGCATTGCCACTCTTCCAATATTTTCACAGACCATCTATTTCCTATCCTATATTTTAGGTCTCCTGCCCTTTCCTTCAGCATTTACTACCTTCTGTCTACAGTCAACTAAATAAAAAGAGAACCCACTGCTAAAGTCTCTTGTTTGCTGTTCCAAACATGCTTCTTTGCCAGTTTAGTAATATTACTAGCTGCTGGTCTTTTTTTCTTTCTTTCTTTCTTTCTTTTTTCTAATAAAATAAAATCCATTCTTTGTCCCGAGTCGCACATGTACAAATCTTCTTCTGTCTAATCTCAACTTCTATCACCCCCCAGCTACTGCCTCATGAATTTCACATATTTTGTTTTTTAAGTCCCCTTTGTCACTCTTACAATTCACATCTGTCATCCTCCCAAGCTGCTCTCGTAGCTGAAACCAGCTCACACTCCCCAGTTGCCAGAGGACCTTGCAAGTCCTCAAAATTCATTCTCTCTCTTAGTTTCCATCACTTATCCTTCCAGCTCAACTGAACTGTTAAAAACATAATAATTCATTACAAACTATGGAATTATGGAAATTTCTATTATCCAGAAAAAGACTACTACTCTTTCCTCTACAACAACCCTATCTGCAACCTGATGCATGTTTTGTTTTAATTTACAAAGAGAAAAAAAAGAGCGTTTGATAGGGGTTTCCCCCCCCTCATAGAAAACACTGGGAGGAATTATTTCTTGTCATATACTAAGTTAAATTAAAAAACCTGCTGTCAGGTTAGGGTTCTCACTCTTCATAAAATTTATATACAATCTTATTTCAATCTCTTCTGACGGCAAAGTTGTAAAAAAATGAAATTAAATTTTGTTCTCTATAACCCATTCACCCTGTACAATCAGAAAATGTATTAATAAACTATAATTTCTTGCTGTCATACACAAATTAGTTTCATCTTGAGTGGTTTACAGGCTAACAAAACACTTGCACTGCTTGTGTGAAAAACATATAACTGAAAGCTCAAATCATCACTTTACTAAAAATACTGCTAATTAAGTAATTTTATCTACACAAAGCAAATGTATAAAAGACTAGAGAATTGCAATGTGGCCTATATATTCAAAAACTCTGCACAAACACCACAAGTCCCTGCTTTTAAGCCTAAAGTCTTCAACATCCCCCTAATCACAGTCGTGTATCACATGTAGTCTCTTTCTCTTTATTAACAGCTTTAGGATTATATGTTATCTGTTTCTCCTACTTCATTAATCAAAGGCAAACAGTGGATATAATCTATTTTCTCAGACAGATTTTGGAACTGGACGCACATGTTCACTGCGTCAGCCACAGTTACTCAAAAGTACATAACAGCTGTATAGGGCAAATCAGCTTGTGCTAAGCAGCTACCCTGCAGCAGAGATAAAGCAGAGAAAAATACCTTATGTTGCACATCAAAAACAATCACCAGGCAAAGAGAGTCCTTCCTTCTCAACTCACAAAGTTCACAACAAGCTTTTAAATACTGCATTCAAGGCCATGTTTTGAAAAGCAAACTTTTTTAAATTTTCTCTCGTCTCAGAAACAGAAATAAGGATCAATGCTGCCTAACAGAGAGGCAACTAAAGCGAGAGATAATCCCATGGTTAAACAGATAGGCAGCGGCTAAAGGTTCAGTGCCAGGGTATGCCACAGATTGACTGCAGGAGACTAAAGCGGTCACTGCATTTCTCTGAGCCCAAGTGTCCTGTCTGTACAAGAGGGACAACTCCTCTGGGTTTTTTATTCTTTGGTATAAAAACTTTAAGCTCTTCAGAGTATGGACAAACTCATATATATGACCACAGCTAAACACAACAGTCTCTGATCTCAGCTAGATCCTGCCAATTAAAAAGAAAAGCCGTTTTATTTTCTAGTACTTTTCACATTTTTAGCCTAAGGAGCAGGCTACCTGACTGCTGCATCTCCAGAGCTTTTCAGAGCAAACAGCTGCCAAGCAGAGGGGAGAACACAAATTCACACGCCACTGAGAGGAGCGGCTCTGCCTTCGTGCACCCCCTGTGCAGGCAGAGGGCCAGCCAGCGCACAGGTCGCGATTACCTGATTAACACACCTGTCGCTCTACACGACTCATGAAATGGTGCATTTTTCGCTCAGAAGAGTTTCTTTTGAAGGAAAAAAAAAAAGAAAAAAACAAAAAACCAAAACCTAGGTGACAGAGACGGAAAGGAGAGAAAACAGAGCACCTGGGGTCACTGTGCACACAGGTTCGCCAAGGGGGGCAGTGGACACCAGGCTTTACTCACTCCGATGGCCTTGGGACACTCTGTTCCTCTAGGAAACCTTCCTTCCTTAAATGTATTTACATATTCTGGCAGATGTGTCAAACCGTTGCTTCCCAATAAGCTGCTTTATAGCGCTTGAGGGGTTGCAGCTCCTGACAGGGGAGGAAGAACACAGCCAGGGGCTCCCGGGGGGACAGCCGGCAACACCGCCTCGCCTCCCCGCTGGCTTTACCTCAGCTTATACCGTATTTACCGCCCAGACCCAGACCCCAGGCGGGCCGGGCCGGGGGCCGGCGAAGCCCCTCCAGCCGCTCCGCGGGCGCGTAACGGCCGCCCCCCCCCCCCCGGCGCCCC